TCAAAAAGCAGTTTTTATAGATTATAAGTTGCGATTTGCAAAAAAATATTTTTTCAATGACCGACAAAAGGGAATGTTTTGAAGAATATTTCTTCTCAAGGACGTGCATTTTTAATGAATATCTCTTCAGTAGCCCGAATTATTTAATGAATATTTGTTAAGATCATAAAGAAGCGCGGTTTTGTAAACTATATTTTTAAAGGCCTACAGAATCGGGGATTTTTAAAAGACATTTTTTAAAAATCTGCCGAAGCTAAGGGTGTACTTGTTAAATAATCTCTTTTTCCAGCACCATTCTTGTATTGGTATTTTGAAAAATATTTTCTCTATGGTAATTTTGTAAGGACAGAATAAAATTGTATGGGTATACAGAAGCGGGATTTAAGCTGCATTTAAAATAGTTCAAAAAATATTATTTAATTTTTTGAACTATTTTAAGCGAGTGTTTTTACATTTAAAGGGGTGGTTTAAATGAAGTCGTGGTTTTTAAATATATTTTTTTCAGCGCGAGATTATCAAATGCTTTTAAAGTGAGATTTTTAAAGAATATCACAATAATCAAACTAGGCATTGATATATGGAATATTTTTCAACGATCAACATAAGCGAGGATATTTAACCGATTTTTTTAATGTTCCCAGAAATTGTGGATTTTACAAAGAATATTTTTCGTGGATGTATGTTTTTTTATACCCATCACCACGCGGTAGTACAGGGTATTATGACTTTGTGTATATCTTTGTAATAGTTAGAAGGAGACGAGATAGACCCATAGTCACTTTCTATGTATTCTTGTCAACAAAGCACAGGTCCGAATTGGATGAAATTGCTCATTTATTTGAGACAAGGACACACCCTATTGAAATTGGTGGAAATTGGTTCATATTTAGATATTCGATTCATGTCCATTTTTTAAATTATGCACATTTCTCACCGAAGGGACAAACAAACATCTTTGGTAAAATCTTTTGATATCAGTGCTTTTAAGGTCCCGTCCACATTAACCGAAGGGACGATAATATGAGATTCCGACTTCTTGGAGGATTTACATGCGCTGTGGCGGTATTTGAAATTGGTTCATATTTAGATATTCGATTGATGTCTATTTTTTTAATTAGGCACATTTTCTCAGCGTAGAGACAAACGAACATTGATATCGGTACTTTTAAGGTTCCGTTCCATATTCACCGAAGGGACGGTAATATGAGATTCCGAGTTCTTGGAGGATTTACATGCGATGTGGCGGTATTTGGAGAGTGAAAAATATCTAAGCGAGAAATGTTTGATATAGGTCCTTGTTTTGGCATAGTTACATATAAATGTAGTGCCTTATTTTCTGTATTTTGACGGTACTAGCTGGATTTTCGAACGGAAGTGGCTGCTATTTTTCATTCTAAGTAATTCTAGGGTGAAAAACACATTTGATGAAAATGTCCGATATGGGTCCATATTTCCTATATAAAGGTTCACATTTTTGGTATTTTGAAGGATTTTGTCACATTTTTTCACAGAAATGGCTCTAAATGGCACCCCGGAATACGGAATAGAGCACGGCCTAATACCGACTAAGACCTAAAACCAGCAACGGTGCGGAATTTTTTGATTGGGGCTATGACAAAACATGAACATATATCGAACATTTGCATGAGACATCTATCCCCCCCTCCAAGATCCCGTAATGTAAATTAAAGCCACAGGTTGAAAAATACAGACCATGAAGGGGATTTTCATACTATTGAAATCCGGCAGCAATTTCTCCGTCTCAATAAATTTGTTCCATAGTTATTTTTGTGGATATACATAGAATGACAATGCATGTTTGTACAAAGCAAGGCTCATTTATTTACCCAAAGTCGATCCTGTTGAAATTGTTTAAAATCGGTTCAGATTTATATTTGTTCTTCTCTAAGGAGCATAGGGCTCCCATAGGGCTCGGAGGTCTACGTAAATGACACATAGATTTAATTATTCGATTTATATAAGATATATGTTTCTATTAAATATTTCACAATTTGTGGGGAGGTACCAGGAGAGCATAAAGCCCCTATCTTCGGATTTAATGTAATTTTTGTAAACTATTATGATGTAAATCGGTTATTCAATTAGCTTCAAGCTATATTTACAATTATTTAAAATGTTTCGGGGGAGCTATCAAAGCAGTTTCCATCATCGGACTTAATCTGGGGTTGGTAGAAGTATTAAAATTTGTAAATTTTTGATCGAATCGAACATTTTCTTTTCTTGATATGAAATTAAAAAAAATGTTCAAAATTTTGACACTTTGAGGGGGAGGTACCGAAGAAGTATACCAATGAATTCCATCATCAATCATTGGCTTTATCTAAATATAAGGTTGTGCAAAGTGGATAATACGTTCGCATGATATAAAATTAATTTCCAACAACATTTTGACAATTTTGTGGAGGAGGTATTAGAAGGACTGGACCGATTTTCGCTATTGCTAGATTTAAATACCTCTACCCGACCGCTTAATTTTCGGTGTGCTGAAGCCCAATCGGATTGTCTGTAATTTGGTATTTAATTTTATCGAACAATAATCTATATAGTTTTAAATAGTGGCCCATGTGTGAATATTGTCGAAGTCATCATAGAATTTTAAAACTGGTTTCGATATATTTTTAAAATTAATGAATTAAAAATTCTTCGTCTATATACTTGTACATTTCTGGCGATTCATACTCTCCCCTTAAAGTAAAATAATATCAACACATCCACTCAGAATCTACATTTCAAAAATATCGCCGATAGCAAAATTTGTATTAAGTTCTGCAAAACTGCACTTCAATAAAACCCCTGTGGGCAATAAATTTTGCAACATTCCGCAATTTAACAACTGACATAATATGGAAATCTGTATTTTAATTGCCTCTGTTAAGCAAATAAAAAAGCGTAACTCTTCCACGATCCAAATAACTCGCTGACGTATTTTTAAGATTATTGGATACAATTTAACAGCAATTAATTGTGGGGGGACCATCTCCCAACTGGTCACAATTTTAACAAAACCATCGAAGAATTACGAAACAGGTTGATGTTGTTGTAACATCGAAAAAAAAAAAATTAGCTAATTTGAATAAGTCGTCAATTAAAAAACAATTTATGTGGTGTCGATTAAAATATAAATAACAATTAAGCGGAACAGCCGACGACGAGACATAGTATGTAGTAGGTGATCGAATCGGATAGCAGCAGAAGCTATAAAATATAAATTAACATATTTATCTGCATAAAATCGAAGAGTGCTACGGCTACTGGTCTGCTGTCTTTAAAGATAATCGGCTAATTTAATCGAGATCAAGAATTTACAAAAGAGACAGAACCGGTTTTTGTTCGTTACTTTTAAAGTAGAGATATTAATGGATTTAAAAAATGGGCTATGATAAAAAAAAAATAATTTTTTATTGGATTGGTCTGATTCTTATACAGGCAATACCAAATAAGGTTGAATCATTATAATTTTTTATTAAATTAATTAAAATTAATTGTCGGCATAACAAACTTGCATTTTCCTATTTCAAGACACCATCAATGGAAATCTTCAACATTTTGGCACGAGCTAAAGTTATCATCAACGATACGAAATAGGAAATAAACATTTGAATAACGAGCTCTCGTATATATTAAGCATTACTTTAATTTTCACATTGTGTTTTTCTCTTTTTCCCCATTTACATTTTTTTTTGTGGGCGTTGAACTTGTCGAAATGATGTTAACTGCATCATTTATTATTTTCTTGTTGCTTTGGGATTAGACAGAGAGTTTTTTGCTTAATAGTTATCATTTCTTGTTTATTTAAGTGTGTTGAAATTACCAAGTTAGTTTTTTGTAGAAATTGTTGTGTAGTGATGATGGTGACGATAACTTTAAGAAAGTGTTGGTCTGAAAACAAAAGACTTAAGACACAAACATGGCCAAGAGGGAAAAATGGTTACCTTGAATTCAACATTGTGTTGTTGGGAAAATAGGAGTTATTGGTAATTACAGTGCAGATTTTTTATTCATTTTCTATGAGGGCTACTATATATATATATATTTCCAGCATAATAATAAACCAGTGAGCGGAGCAGTATAGTCGGACGGGGCCGACCATATGATACCCTACACAACTTCCACGAAAATCTTACTTTCTGTGGTACTACATTCGGAGCTTGGGCAATACTTCGCGATATTTGCTCTCTCTTGACGACTAGATATATTATTATTACTAATATTCAGTACAGCTCTTCTAATTACTTGTTCAGATTTCCTTCACCGTGGGTTGTGTTGTGATTTTTGGCTTTCAATTGTGGCCCAAAGATCGACTCGAAAAAACCCAAAAATTAAGTTTTTGTTCCACTTCATCCCAATATTATTTTCTGATCATTTCATGTAAACATTTAAGTGTAACTCTCACATCTGAGTAAGTACGACCATAAAATTGGTATCAATTTAAAGGTCAACCACTCCTCTTGGATATAAAATCTCGGGTCTATGTCCTTCAGGGGCAAATATATAGGCAATAGAATACAAATTTTGTAATTTTTCACACAAAAGTCAGGGTCCATTTGACCCGCTCAATCGAGATATGACGATCGGTATACTTAAAGGTGGGTCTAGGACCAATATTTCGCGGCGTTACAAACTTTTGGGGCTGTACAAAGCTATAATACCCTGACAACATAGTTGTGTAGGGTATAAAATGCGAATATTTTATCACCAAAATTGTTGTTATTGTTTTTCAATGTATTCCTCGGCAAAATATTTCACTCCAAATGAAGCATCTTAAAAAGTATATTTAATTTTGAACCCTTCAACAGTATCTACTGGCGAAGAATATCGATGAGAATGCATTTTTTTATTAATTATTGGGAAACAAATAAAGTTATTGGAGGCCCAGGGCTCTACCACAGATTACCTATCAATTAAACATTTATATGATTACTTTTATATAATTGCGGTATTAAAAGTATTCTAATTTTGTTTTTTATTTTTAATTTCAGATTGCTCATGTCTCCGGCGTTTTAAACGTAAGTACATTTGTACGTATTTAAAAAAAAATAATGAAATGTTTCCTATAACAGTTTTGGCGTAGTTTATTTTGTTTTTCGGACTAAATACCAGTTGCTCACCACACTGTGGTACAGGGTATATGTCATTGTGTATGTGTTTGTAACAGGCAAAAAGAAACGGGATAGACACATGGTTCCTTTTGAAAATATGCATAGAATCACTTTCTGAGTCGATTTATGCATGTCCCTCTGTCTGTCTATCTGTTCATGTTAAATTGTAAAAAAGTACAGGTCGCATTTATGATCCGAATTGGATGAAAATTGGCATAGGTCACTTGTTTGGCCCAAAGACGAACCCCATTGAAATTGGAGAAAATCGGCTCAGATTTAGATAAAAGTCCCATATATATTTTCAGATTTTATCTAAATAGTGCGCCAAACTCCCAATTTTTATCCGATTGAGACAAAATTTGGCACAATGTGTGGAATTGAGACTAGAATAGAGTTTGTTAAGATTCCTTGAAATCGGTTCAAATTTACGTATATCTATATGGGCAATATTGCCAATTTTTTAATATTCCATTTTCAAAAAATCAGCTTTTTTGTTTTTGTGGCACATCAATGATTTTTGGTACACATATAGAGAAAAATGTTCTGACTCCAAAACCGTTCGCAATCAAATTTTTGGTTGATGCGCGCAAAAGTTATCGAGGTTTTAATTTTGGCAATAAGAAAAAAATCTTAAAATTATGCCGTTTATTATATTGACCAAAAGCGTTAATATAGATCTTCCTCCATAAAATAAGAATATGAATATATTATAATAATCGCGATAAAGTTGCACATCTTCGCGAAATATGAGAAAAATAAAAAAATATAGCAGATTACATCTATATTTTCATTATATTAATGACATACACACACCTAAAAATTAATTTAAAAATATCTACATAATTTAAACACCGTGATGAATTAAATGATATCAAAATCCCACAAGTCCGTGTAGCGGTTTGTAAATCACAGCGACAACAAAACAAGATATTGAGAAAAAATATTTGTTTTTGGTTCGAAAAAATAATGTCATCATATTTATTTTTTTAATTTTATCCAAGAAATTTCAGAAAAAAATGTTGGGGTTATTCTGCTATTTTACCCGAATTTCGCCGAAAAATTTACATATATAATAATCACTTTTTGTGTATACGTATATGCTTTGCGGATTATATGAAGACCCTTCGGATAAATCTTGGGGTTCTATAAATAGGAATAAATCTTAAAATAAAATAATATTATGAAATATACATGTTAAATTGCGTCTAAATCGCGTACTTCTCAAAATCATTTGATGCGCATACGGTTTCCAGGAAGTACTGAAGTTTATCTTCCAAACCATATATATTTTGCAAAATTTCATTTGACGGCTAAGATGTGCCACACGTTGCATTGAAGTACCCAAAAAAATCGTAAAACGCGAATAATTTCCGAAAACTCCATATGCCATTAACGCGCATCCGATTTCGGTGTGCATCCTAAAAAATACATCGATCTATACCGATTTCAATGTGGTCCATTAAGAACCATGGATGTGCCAGCTCACACTATTTTTGAGATAAATTGGTACATCTCTCTTTCAACTGAAGTTTTTAAAGATCTCTTTTCGAAAAAGAACAAAATCCGTATGAGGTCATTTATTGAAACGGAAATGATCCACAGAAAACGCAAATAAATCCGCGATATTTTCAAAAATATTTTTGCAAAATTTCGTGTTTTTGGAAGTCCAGTCACGAAGAAGATTTGATATGATCCGAAACGTAAAAAACCTTTTTGATCGCGGGTACCCATGTCATTCAGTTGACAGATCAAAAATTTGGCCCGAAAAATAGGTTTTTTACAAATTTGATCGCACAAAATTTTCACCATCGGATGAGTATTACTCTGAAGCTGTGCATACTACATACACAAAATACATATCAAATTACGCAGATACGCGACCACAATAATCTTATAATCGATTTTTAGAAATTCCTGTTTGCGTATTAAAGCTAGAAGTAAAATTAAAAAAACACTCAAAATCGAGCTTCAAAAGGTCAGCATCAGTTAAAGGTAGATGCAGTTAAAATTTTGAAAAATGACACATAAGGGGCGTAGTCCCCATTTTGTTGGCTTCTAGTTTTACATTGACACGAAGACCGTGAAATGAGTGGCTTACTCACAAATCGATAGATAATATAAAAAAATTCGCCTCAACGTGTTTTTATACATTTTTTTACATTAAAGTAGACACAGCTTCCACCAAAATAAAGTTTGGAGGTCAATATCATGAACAGTTTGCAACGACAGATCAATTAACCCAAAACTATTCAATTTTTTTATATACTTAAGTACTTCCCGAGTTATAAAGGGGTGAACCTCCGCTTCAGCTATGTTAAAAAATTGGCAATATTGCCCATATATAGATTCGTCCGATTTTACTTAAATGGTGCAAACTCCCAGTTTTTGTCCGATTAAGACAAATTTTTGACAAAACGTATGGAATTGAGACTTGAATAGATCGTGTTGAAATTCATTTAAATCGGTTCAGATATATATATATATATAGAGCTTCTATATATAGATTCGTCCGATTTTATGTAAATATTGCACCTAACTCCCAATTTTTGTCCTATTGGGACAAAATTTGGCATAACGTATGGAATTGAGACTAGAAGAGAGTGTGTTATGTTTCATTGAAATCGGATCAGATAGAGATATAGCTCCCATACATAAATTCGTCCGATTTTATGTAAATGGTGCACCAAACTCCCAATTGTTGTCCGATTGAGACAAAATTTGGCATAATGTATGGAATTTAAATTAGGATATAGTGTGTTAAGATTCATTGAAATCGGTTCAAATTTATATATAGCTTCGTCCGATTTTATGTAAATGGTGCACCAAACTCTCAATTTTTTGTCCGATTGAGACAAAATTTGCTATAACGTATGAAATTAGGGCTAGGATAGATTGTGTTAAGTTTTATTGAAATCAAATCATATATACATATAGCTCCGATATATAGTTCGTCCGATTTTAGGAAAATGGTGCAACAAACTTCCAGGGTTTGTTCGATTGAGACACAATATTGCCCAGTATACTGAGATTTACATCTAGCTCCCATATATTAATTTGGGGAAAAAGAAATCCATTAGTCCGGTCGTCAAAAATAAAAATCGGTGAAATTATCGAAGTTAGCTGTCGTAACATCGCCCAGGAGCCTAAAATCGTCTGTAAAACTGTTTTAAACCATTTATACAAAGCAGGATTCAAAAGAAAAAGAAAAAATGTCCATTAGCGAAGCCTTGGTCGAACGGAATGAGATAGACCCATTTCTTAAACGGATGGTGACTGGAGATGATAAATGGATCACATGTATAACCCTGTGTGAAAACGATGAAGCACCTCAAACGATGGCCAAACCAGAACTAACGGCCGGAAAGGTTCTGCTATGCATTTGGTTGGATTGGAAGGGGATTATATATTATGAGTTGCTTCCATATGACCAAACGCTTAATTCTGATCGCTACTGTCAACAACTGGACCGTTCGAAGTCAGCAATTGACCAGAAACGGGCAGAATTGGCAAACAGGAGAGGTGTCGTGTTCCACCAGGACAACTCTAGGCCACACACATCTACAGTGACTCGCCAGAAACTTCGGGAGCTTGGTTGGGAAGTTTTAATGCATCCACCATAGAGTCCGGACTTGGCACCAAGCGATTATCAAATTTTTCTGGCATTGCAAAATGTCTTTAAAGTTAAAAAATTTGTATCTATCTTTGTATCTGGAAAATCGACTACTAGAGTTTTTTTTTTTTTTTTTTTTTGCAAATAGAGATCAGAACCTCTATGAGAGGCATCATGAAGTTACCTTCAAAATTGCAACAAATCATACAATAAAAGGCATATTTGAGCCAAATCGGACATTCCGAAGCATGTTAAATAAATAAAGTCCTATTGATCATATAAAAATAATGGATTTCTTTTTCCCCAGCCTTATATATGATCTCATGCAAATGGTTTACCCAAGAGCTAACTTTTAGTGGCGTTACATGAAATATTGCAGAGAGTATAGCCTCCATATATATTTCTATCTGATTTGATCGAAATGGTGTATCAAATACCTATTCCACACAACGTATAAGATTGGAACTACAATAACGCCTATTGGAGTTTGTAAAATATATTCCTTACTTGCTTTAAATTTAATTAAGGTATGTCAAAGTTTTATGACCCTAATATATAATGCTATTTTGATATTAAAACCTGCTAAGAAATTACCTATTTAATTTTTGCTTGAGTTTTATACAACATTTAAGATTAACATCGTATCATCTGATTTCACATTTTTAATCTGTTACCATAGCTGTAAAAAACGTGTTCAAAAATAATATAATAAATTAAATAAAAAAAACTTACCCCCAATTTCGATCCGCCATATTGAATTTATACTTTTTTCTTCCAGTATCGTATTCAGGGTCCCGCAACCTCGATATAATGTCGTAATGTTTGACGTATCTTCCATATAAAGGTGCAGCTCCAGTTTAGGTATAGTCCTGGCACTTCTTCATTCCAGGTTCTTGGTGGCTATACAACTTTGTATTTAGCAGTTCAAAAACCCTTATTTGCATAGGTTCACTTTTTTGTAATATCACTGTAGTATAGTGCCACGTTTTTTGAAGCCTTTGTTATAACTATGGTGGCGGGTATCAAAAGTTCGACAGGGCGGAACTTTTAATTTGTTTCTGCTAAATATGTTGAATGTCTACTTGAGGCGTGAATTATGACCAAATATTGGATTTTAATACTCTTACCATGATGGAAAATGTTAACTTCACTGAATAAATTTATTGATTTACTTAGTCCTGATTTAGATTAGGCGAGTTTACATGCCGCAATTATTATCATTCTCTTTTGAACTTGCTTCATGCATCTACACAAGGCAATTCGGTTTCAAAAAATATATTTTTTTACATTTTGTGACAATGTGCAGGATTGGTATTTCAAA